TTCTCTTCTTTTGTTGCTCAGTTTAGGCCCTGGTATTTGAACTGTTAGTACTGACGTTTGAATGTGTTTGGTCACTTGACTTGTTCAAGCATTTCGGAGTTTTCTGAAGTTAATTTCCAAGTCACTAGAGACGTGTCGTATATTAAAGAAACAAGAAACCTAAGGTGAATTTGGATCATCACACCACATTATTCAAGTATTGAGTTTTATACTCTTCGAAATGCTTTGTCTTGATCAAACTCATGAGCATGGGGAAGAGAGATCATCCCTTCTTTTTATCCAAGATCTTACATAAAAACACAGTTGGAGGGGAGTTCTCTTGTGAAATAAAGAGGTGGTTAAAATAATCTGTCATATTTGCTCTCACAGTCCAGGGAGAGATTTGCAGGAGAGCACGGAGAGGTGTTTCCCAGGCAGGCTTTAGAGCTCTCTGCAGAGAGCCCAGGTGGTTCCTCCAGTGCGCCACCACTCTAGGTGACGTCCTAGGTTATACCTGAAACGATGAGTGGTGCTGAGCTATCGTTACAGCTTTGGGGCTCCGTGCCTGGCAAAAGCCTACTGCAAGGCACAAACTGAAACATTTCAAATACGCACGTGCCCCATTCTTTAGCTACGTTCCGTCTCCTTGCCCCTGACGTGCTGTAAAATATTTGCTTTTAAATGTCATCAAAGAATAGTTCAGTGCAGCTTTAGGACAGTTACTGTTTGGATACATTGCCAACCTAAGTCAAGACCGCTGGCACCTAGCCACTTATTAAAAATGAATTCAAATTAACAAAACTGAATGCAGCTGTCCACTAACCCAGCCTAGTAGGGCAGATAATTACATGAGTTCAAGAAGGCCAACTTTTTTTTTTTTTCTCACTCATAAACTGAATGAAAAAGGGCAAATATAATGCAAAATGGAACTTTTTATTCTTTCTTTCTTTTAAACAAAAGTATGTATGAGAGAAGAAATCTCTCCTCCTCGAAGAAGAAATTTTCCCCTTGCTCATGCCCTTCAGTTAGATTACCCAGTGCCATTCTTTGTATGGTATGTGGCTTGCATTTTTGTGTGGCTGGGGCTGTTTTTAATGTCACTGCACAAAAGCTAAGCTGGTGCTGTGAAAGGCTGTGATACCTTCAGAAGTCCTGCGCTCTAGGCCTGTCCGCTCCTCTGTGAGCAGACGCTGCTGCTTCTTCCTCTGGTTGAAAAAGGGTTGCAAACGCATCAGCTTGCAACTACTTGTCCACAGCACAAGTTGAGAGCCTTTACCGCTAACCACTTTGTTCTGCCTGTTTCTGTCATTCTACAGAGGTTTGGAAAAGTGCTTCATAAAATGGAATCAGCAATGAATATTTAAAAGCAAATTAAACATTTTTGTGAACTTTCCAATGTTAATTATGGTTTTCCTAGCCTGGCTAAAATCAAGAGCAGCCTTTCTTTGTGGTATGGCTGCTGCCAAGGCATGAAGCTACACGTGGAAATTAAATATATAATTTTCAAACTTCAGCATAGGTCAAGGTTTTGTTTAAGACTTGGCCAAAGGCACTGGTTGGTTTAATTACTACTTTTTTTAACCCCATGCTGAGTTGCAGCAGAGTTAACTCCTTGGGCTTGTGCATCAAACTGCTTCCCTGGGCTCTGCTGACAACAGTACACCTAGGTTGTGAGGAAATTTAATGGCTTATCTACAGAGGGGAGCTGCAGTGCTGTACGCTGGTGCGAATTTGAAGAGTGCCAGCCATGTGCTGTGTGTGAGGTAGCTCTCAGAGCAGGGTAAGCTGCACTGCACAAAGGTTAAAACAGAAAAAAAAAAAAAGTGTTCTCACATGGAGTTAATGGGGGGCAGCTACCGTGCTATACGCTTTGCTTTAGCTTACTGCCTGCCGATGTCCCTTGTACAGAAAGCTGGGCTTGGCAAGTGAATTGAGCAGATTTGCAAAGCCTGAAGGAAACTTCATAGGACCAGAGCTGCAGAGTTCAGTGTTAGAGCCTGACAGGTATGTTAGAGGTCAAGGCTACAAAAATCAAGAACCAAAAAACTTTCATGGCGGTTGTATGCTGCAAGGGGGACCAACAACTGGAGTTGATAAACTCCATCTGCAACAATAAATCCACAGAGAAATACAGGCATCAAACTGTAGCCTTGAGCCAAATGTTGGACTTGCACCTTGAAAGCTTTTGTCTGATTCTAGATACAGCTAAGGCTTTTTCTGCTAACTTTGTGTGTTTGGTTTTTTTTTACCCTAGACAAGCACTTGTTGCTATTCAGACTTGGAGATTGGTCCAGTTCAACCATAGCCCCATTTCTGCCATGCTAGCACCAGACCCACAGGATGTCCTCACAGCTAGAGCATTCACTTGTGAGGGGTGAGACATGAGTTCAAATACTGTTTTCTGAGCTGGATCCAGAATTTCTGCTTCCTGGGCTGGTGCTTGGCCTGTAGGTTAGAGGCTGGGTGAGTAGGGCACAGGGATGAGGAGTGCTCTGTCCTTCTGGTTGAAGCTGATTCCCTTTATGTAAAACACTCGGGAGTATGTTGGCATGTGTACTGGACTGCAGGCCTCCCAGGCAGCTGCTGTACTGGCCAGGCTATGCACCATTCACTTCTTGGCCAACTTAACACTAGACCAGAACACAGGATACCAAAGTACCAAAAAGAGGACCAAATGCTCTTATGTTCGCTGTGGTTTCAGTAAGGAATAGGCTTTTTGAGAAGGTGGTGATGGCAGTGGCTAGCTACTGATGCTAAAATAGTTGTTCACTTAGCTCACCTGCAGGGCTAGGAAAACAGTGGAGTAAATTCCGGCGAGGCATCTAAGGCCCAGTTCGATGGGTCGTTGTGCTTTGCGGAGTCTTGCGTTATTGTGTGAAGGAAGTCCTATTTACTACAGCTAGCAAGGGGACAGTGGAAGGTGTGATTATTTCTGAGCACTGGCAAAACTGTTACAGGAGAAAGCAAGGGCCAAGGGGAGGAGAATAATAATCCTAGCAATGAAAGGTTAATACGTTGAATGCCAGCAGGGCATGTTGGTAATGGGCATGAGGACCCACCTGTGCCAAGCAGCACTCCCTCCCAAACAAAAGGGACCCAACAGTACAGCTATGCAGGCAGGAGCTAGAACAGTGCTGACAATGCTGTTGCTTTGATTAAAGGATGAGAAAACAGCTGAGTTCTGGAGTATACGCTCATGGGCTTCACTGAAAGGATTTTTATCCTGATTTACATAGTTTTTATTTCTGTTTGCTTGAGTTCCCACTTCCTAGAAAGCAAAGCCCTATTAGCAAATAGACTACATGGGAATTCTTAAAAACAGCAACTGTTTGCTGGTACTTATATGATCTCATTATTCCATTTTTGAACACTTTCAAACATCACTAACTTTGTTTGTCTTCTCCCAGTGTTGGTATTTGGGTTTTAGCCTTACAGTTGGAAGATAATGAGGACTGGTCTGTCAGGATAGGTTTTGGTCAGCAAAGGGAATCTTAAGTCAGCTGGTCTAAGGAACTCCATGAATGTCTTTCACACCTGCTTTTCTAACATAGCTGTCATTTCAAAGCTTGTAAGACCTGAAAGCTAAAACATTATAGCAGGGAATTAGAGAACCTTGTACATGCACTTTCCCTTGCTCCTCGGGACACTAGTTACATCTGTCTGAGGACCGCTGCATCTCTACGAACAGATCTGAGTAAGTCTTTGTGCAGCCAGTGATCCAATTTATATGCCAGAGTAAAGACATTTCACCCTTTCAGGCTACAGCTGTCACCCTTCTCTCTTTCAGTACATCAAATCTGATACAGGGATTGAGAAATCAAGGCTTTATAACCCAGGAAATTCCAAAACTGAAAGTTCTTAGAGCAAAATGTTAATTTTGCTGCCCTGCATATCCTGTACACTTTATCTTGTAGGTCAAATGGAGAGTAATACGCTACAGTGACAAGGAAAACAGGACTAGGCAACAGTGCATATGCACAATTTGGCAGAGTTCATGTTAATGTAGAAACTTAAACTTTTGGTATTTGCTGCTATTCAAGGGTTTTACTTCTCAACCTTAACAATATATTATTGTTGTTTTTTCCCTACCACATAGATTGTAAATAAATGCCAAGTTTTTAAGAGTAGTTTCAGAAAAGAAAGCACAGTTCATGACAAGTTACATGTGTATGTACCACTTTCTAAAGTGCCAAATCCTCAGAAATATTTGAGGAACTTAAAAGATGCCAGTGGAATCAGCTAGCCCTCTCTTGTCACTTAACCCCTTTTAGAGCATTCATCCTGGGTAATTTTGTAGCCCGTCATGAGACTAAGGCAAACTTGAAGCTGTCTACTCCTGTATTTCATTTAATAGGCTAACATTCCTCCCTTTGACATTTTATTTGAGATTGCCTTAGTGACCATTCAGCTTCATAAGGTCCTGTTTCCTGAATTTTCCCCCCCGCTTCTATTACAGCTGTTATCAGGTAAAGTTAAAGCATTTTTACCTTTGCAACATTATTTAGAAAAATGAGTATTATTACAACTTTCTAGGGGCAATGCTAATGTTCTGACCACCAGAGCACTGCATGCAACACAGCAGCTGTTATATATTCAAGGGTGAAATTCCAATAGTAGTATTCTATATAATCTCTGGATAAATATTTATGCTTGTGAAAGTTAAGTGACTTGGAGTGCTATAAACTCCAGCCTTTTGGGCAGACGACTGCAATTTAAGCTTTCTTGCTGTGACCTACCAGTGACCTCTCTCCTGGTCTAGAGTCAGAGTGATTGCTGGAGGCAAAAATTCAGAGTGAATCCTGAGGCCTCTGCTGAGCAATAAAACAGTGCCGAAAACCCATCAGATGTTATTAGAACCCAGCTAGGTATCTCAGAACCACTTCTCGTCCTAAACATTGCTTAAATTTCCTTGCAACTTCTCCTCACAAACCCCTCATGATGTGATTTCAGCATTGATAAGATGGTAAAAGCCCATTGAAGACAACAAGCATTGCATCATGAGCTGGATTTTTGGTGTTTTATTCACTTGGTAGTTGGGAAGCTTCTATTCGTTCTTCTCTAATGTGCAGACGACTTCAAAGTTGTGATGTGGTTAACCTGGGTACTACAGTAATGCAAATGAAATAACAAGCAAGTTTGCTACTAAAACAGTTGTACAAGTTAGGTCCCATTAGCCATTAGAAGCTGTAGTTCAGTGCCAGTCATCACTCATGAAATAAAAAATAGGCAAAGCGGTATTCCTGGGGAACTCTGCAGAACTGGAATTCGTTCCAACCATTTAACCTGAGCATGTTTTCCAAAAGCTGTATACTCCCTTATTTGCTTCCTGAGCTGCATTCCAGAAGGATAGCAGATATAGCCTAATTCCTTTTTCTCCATCTCACTACTGTCATTTTTTTCATGTTGAAAAATCAGAAAACTGAACCCCATGCAATACTCTACATTCCTGCCTGCGTGCTAGAAAGAAGAACATGCCAAAATGCCCTATCTCATTTTCATCCAAGCTGGCAGGAGTTGAAGCAGTTGCTGCTTTGAAACATTGGAATGATAGTTTGACTCATGCCTGCCTTCTACTGAAATAACAAAATGCAGCTTGGCCTTCCTGAAGCGAACCAAGCGAAATTAGGGTTCTGTTGACCTGGTTCTACTTCCTTGCCCAGAGGAAACGCATCACTACAATCATGTCTTGAAGTAGCTCTCCTAAAAAAGCCTGATCTGTTGCTGTGCCATTCCATCATGGTTGGTAGCTCTTGTCAAGGCTTGTTATTCTTGGAGCAAGAACATTATCAGCAGGTTTATGGCATGCTAACACCGTATTGAGGGATGTTTATTTTATCTGGCAGTTGATATCTAGAAGAATGGCTCTAGGACAACAATATACATTTCAGTCTGAGGAACTCATTAATACTACTTTAATCCACAGGGGCGTTAGATTTTATTTTGCTTTACTCGATACTAGGAGATTTTTTTTCTTGACTTGTCCTCTCTGAACTTGCCGAGCACGAGTTCCAAATCCCAAAGACTGCATCGATTCTGCTAAGTACTTCTGGTCAGGAGAGATGCACAGCATCACCAGCAGTTTAGCATCACCTCCTAAAAGAAAGATTAAAAAACACCTATTTACCCCATTATTTTTTAGTAAGTTATGAACTGATAATGAACTGATCTACAAGCAAGCAGCACAGGCTACCGTTGCTTTTATGAAGCAGAAGACTATATGCGAACACGGCTGTTGAAAACAGACAGCTGCTTACAGGGAAGCCTATATCTAAGAATATGATTGTTTCCCCAGTAGTAGAATAAACGTTTGACAATTTGTGATATAGAATTCTTTCTCTTTATGGCGTCAGCAGTTAGTCTGCATGTACATTACGGGTCTCAACACCTCATTAAGCTTTGTCAGATGTTTGCAAATTCAGGGTAAAGGCAAAATGGCTCATTTGTGGGGCAGTACAGCAAAACGGATTTATTAAAAGTTCACAGTGATTAAACGAACACAGAAATTGGCATTTTCAGCATTGCACGTAAACAGTATCCCGTGTCATACACCAGTCATGGCTGAAAACAGGCTCAGAGTGCATACAGCCTAACTCCTACACTCACTTCTTTGGCTTTCCCCTTTCAGAGCACGCATTCCAGTGCTAGGGGACAGGAAAAGGTCAAGTGAAAATGAACAGTCTTTCAGACAGTCTGAAGAGCTGTTAACTTCAGTCACTGCCACTACCTTGAACTGGAGGCTTCTGGAGCTTTTTAAAAACCTAGCAGCTGATGCTCTAAGGCTGAAGGAAAGAACAGACTAATATATTGTATAGTCTTGAAACAAACCTGACATTACTACTGGGATTACTTGTTATAAAGCTATTTCTGCACAGATGAAGAGCTAGAGGAAGAAGTGACCCAAACACACAAAGACGTTGTAGTAGGCTACCATACCAGTGTTCCAGAGCATGCCTCCTTTGTCTTACTGCCATGGGACACAGTATTAAGAGACTTGCAACTACCTGACTATGCCCCGTATGCCCTGACTTAGCCAAATTGAGGTGGAGTTCAGAACTCATACTGTGCATTCACACTGCTCCAAGCCAGACTCTTTAAACAGAGGCCCACGTACAAAGGAAATGTGTCAACACACACAAACTCACTGTATGGTTTTACACAGCGAAAGAGGGAGAAAGGTTGGGAAAAGAAGTCTATTTTATATTGCTTAAAAAAAAAAATTGGAATAATTGCTCACCTACAGCGTCCTGGAGCAGATGCGTAAGTTTGCTGTTTCGGTATGGTATATGAGATCGCTGTTCTGCTATTGCTCCAAGAACGTCTGCTAGAGCAGACAAGCTGCGGTTAATAAATGATGTCTCTCTCAGTGCTGCACCTGTCACTCCAGACATACCTAATACAGTGTAGAGAAAGGCAATGGTAAGACTAAGCAAAGCTGCTTTGAGTACAGTACCTGAAAAATTCTATTGTTGTATCACCTGCTTGTGACACAACAATTTTTAAATACACGTTCTGAAACATGTTTTCCAATCCACCCATGCCAAAAGCAAAATGCAGTGGTGGTTTACTCTGCAGTAGCAATATATTGTTCAGTACTCCTAGTCTTTTGCAAGGGGGTTAAAGAAGTTCAGTGACTGCCAATGGTCTGAGGTATCTCATGTAAAAGCTGATCTCTTCAGCTGTACAGTGCATCTTGGCTCTGTATGCATCAGAATGGGGAACTAAGTAGGAATACTGCAAGATTAGACAAGATTACGCTGCTTTGGTAGACATCAAGCCACAATGTCTTGGGAGAGAAGCCTGTTGTGTTCCACCATTTCTTGTAACAATTAATTGCCCAGTGTGTATCCCTTAGGACCAGCAGGAGCAACACTGAGTTTTTGAAGCTGATGAACATACGCTGCAGAAACAGAGCTGTACAGTGGCCATAAGTTTGAGGGGCTTATGTTTACCAAATTTTGTAAGATACTGTTCTTTCTTTATGGTATGATTTGCTGTAGTTGTTCATACAGGAAAGGATGCCCTTCTACCATCCAGCCAGCGTGGTGGCTATATTGCCCTCAAGTAACACTGAAAGGTTTGGGCTGCATATCAAATTGCACCAATTTATCATAGGTGCTGCAAGCTCAACTCTGACCAGTCTGGATGAACGTGCAGTTAGAGTAGGTCTTACTGCTGCCGTCTGGAGAAAAGAAACTTGCTATTATTAGCATTTTTTAGCTGCTACTTCTTCGGGGGAGCAGAAGAGCAACAGGTGCATCTGCAATCACATCTTATTACCCAGAGCACATAATCAGGTTAGGCACTAGGGGAACGATCAGAATGGGCTACAGTGTCCTCAGCTGCTTTCTCTGCCACCTCTAGAGAGGGAGAGAAGCTGTACAGAGAGAAGCTAAAGAAAGACCTTATTTTCCCTTTAGGCCAGCATTTTCCAAACTGGGAAAACAAAAGAGGTGTTCAAAGGGTAAGTGGGAGAAAGCACAACAACAGAAAAAACACAGAGGGCTGGACAGGAAGAGCTGGAGGAAAATGTGACTGGGATGGGGAGGATGAGGCTGCAACGGTAGTGTCTTGGGAGAGTGACAGAGGAAAACAGTTTGGAAAACCCTGCCACATGGTGGATAATAATCTGAAAGAGGATGTATCTCAGACTAACTTTACTTGCGTCTGTATCTGCTGGCTGTCCCCAGGCTTCTTTTATAGTCAGGGAAGAGCAGCAGGGATTCCTAAGACAATGGATATCACCTTAAAACATAAAATTGCGAATAGGTGAGGGGGTACACGTTTAAACTGCAGACATTATGTCTGATCAGATGACCTTCCACAAAGCGTTCAGCTGCCTTCTCAAGGCAAAAATGAGTTTGCCAAGAAGTGACCACTTTTAGCTTGTAAATGGCATAAATGATCTAGGATGGTTGTGGAGCTGTTGAGAACATTACCAGGCGCTAACAAGGCAAGGTGCTGATGTACATTTTAAGTGTGTGTGATTCCTAGTACACTGCTGCTCACTTACTTAGATTCAGCCACATTTAAAGAAAATTATGAGTCAACAATTGCCTCACTTTTATCAGAGCAAGTACAGCTTCTTCAAATCTTCACCAGTGCAGCCAACGGTAGAGGTTAGTCTACTGCATGTGCTGGGCCGTATCTAACACTGATTAAGTGAGCACAGCTCTACTGGCTTCACTGGAGGATCTGGCCCACTGAGCCTCAACCAAATAAATGCTTGCTCTGGTTGAACTGAGAAAACAGACACACACACTGTTGCTCAGTTACCTGTTTACCAAACAGTTTCCAGCACTCACAGCAAATGAAAAAAATGATGTATTACATTATGCTTCTCTATAGAACAAAAGTTTAACAGTGAGCAGCAGCAGCAAGAACTCTTGGCAGTAACGCAAAAGACTTTCATAATTCTGGTTCAGTTCTCAAAACATTATTTCTGGAATGGTACGTTTGGCTGCGTGGCTTTTCTTGGTAAGAAAGCTTGTCCTTTAGGAAATAATCAAGTTTTTTAAATTATTGTGTGCCCGGAGGAGGGGGAGGAGGAAAATGCTTTGAAGAAACAATGAAAACAATATTATCTTTTCAACACTAACTTCCTTCAAGAATTTTTCCACAGTGAAGCAGAGAAACCCACACATGGTGATATCAATTATTACAAATATTTGTAAGATTTAAATAATTTACACACTTCGAACATTCCTGTACAAGGGCATGACAATTTTCAGAGTAGAAAAACAAACCTAATAAAAGCAGTCTGAACAAATAATATACCTATGATATGGGTTACTGCCCTGGGCTTACTTCAGGCTAATGCAGTCAGATTTTCAGTTAAACTGCACCAGTGTAAAACTGGAACAGTAAGGCCCCAAAACTTCATTTATGTCAGGATCTGTGTGATTAAACCACCCTCTGTGCAAAAGTAGGGTAGCACAAATCCCTACCTAAAAAGCTAAAGGCAAGTGCTTTACTCTAGATCTGGGAGGATCCATGCCCATCGTTCCAAACAGCCTTTTCATAAACACACACGTTTGCTTACCAACACACTCACTACCAGCTAGATCCACCAGCTGCAGTCTAGTTTTGACTTGCTTTGGTTTTTCAGTTGTTTCAAACTGTGCTGGTGAAGAGGCTCTGGAAGAAAAAGTGGATTTATTTTCTCTCGTTTTCTGTGGAAAGGTGCAGGAAACCTCTTTATTTTGCTTCTGACTGGTTAGTTCATCTTCCCATGAAATACCTGGTTAGTGGAAAAAAAAAAAAAAAGAGAGCTTCTTAGTGGCACTGGAAATTGAGGTGACATCTACAGGGGGAGCACAATGTGTGCTGTTTCAGGTTATTCTAACAGAAGCAATATACAAGACAGAATCAATGATATGGGCAGCCTGAACAATCCGGTTTGAAACCTTGTCTGTCCTGTTTAAGGCTTTGCTCATCAGACCGACCATACCAGGTGGTAGTAAGATTTGATGTAGGTTGTGCTGTATCTGATGTCCCCAATATACACGCTCCTAGCTGGAAAGCAAGAAACAGGATACCATTAAGGACTTTAAAAAGGCATTTTATCATGTTTTTTGCTGCTATTCCCTCTAGACTTCCTTCAGCCACCTTATCTCACTGCTGCATCTCCTGATGATCTATTTGCCTTGTTAGCATTACTTCCACTTGTTCAGGTAGGTCACCTACTCGTCCAGGCCCTTGTTCTGTAGCTGCACTAGACTGCTTCACATCCTTCCCCTTCCTTAGTAGCAGCATCTGGCTTTCACTCTCTGCTGGGAAGAAAGAGGAAGACAAATTCCCTGGAAAAGGTGCTTTGGCATTAGCTTAGCGGGAATATATGCAAAAGGACTTTCCCAAAGCAGTTCTGCTTTTTTGCTTCAGTGTTCTGGTTTTCATCCATCTCTCTCTGTTGTAAAGAAAGACATAAAAGAATAAAAGGCAGAGACTCTGCTACAGGAAACAAAGACCATAAACTGGCTTGGGGTCTTAAAAGAGTCTAGTTGCAATAGGACAGAGTTCACGGTGGGCTGCAAAACTTGAGTAAGGAGCAGACATAACTGGCTTGCAGAGCTCTGTACCTCTCCAGCTAAGCTGCTGCTAACACCTGAGCTAGCTGTTCACACTGTAGACTGAGCAACTGTGTTGGCTTACACAGAATAAATGGCTTCAGTCCAGAGAGCGTAAAAAAAAGTTCTCTCTCCTCTTCAGCCTAAGACTAGGAAATGAAGTAACCGCCTCCCCTCAAACAGTAGACATTACTGAAACAAACTGCTACAAGAGCTTAACCAAACCTGAAAAAGTGCTTGCTTGTCTACTCTGGCTTTAGGTGAAGAGCTCATCTTAGACTTTATAACTTTTTATTTAGTGATATAGATCTCCCGTGTTGAGATATTTGGCAGTTGCACATACATAGATTTTAAGTAAGTCAGGAATTGTTCCTTTTAAGCAGAATGCACTGTCATACTTCTGTAATGAGGTCCCATTTGCAGTGCTGCTTTCCCCACACCCATATTGCTCATCTTCATCCTTACGCTAATAACGATAAATCTAAGAGTCTGCATTCAACATAAATTAAATATTTCTATGGAGTTTTGCTGCCAGACAACGTGGTATAGTAGGGTGACTGCAATTAGCAATGGCAGAGGGAAATCTGGACTAGACAAGATGGCTAGTGTGCTCACCATGCAAACACTCTGTGTTTGGAAAAGTAACATCTGTCTGATTGACAAGAATCTGGAACTGGATAGAGCTAACATCTGGAATGCTAGAGCTGCAACATGCAAAGCGACTGTGTCTTTTGGCAGGGGCCATAGGTAAATGAGGGCATTGTTTGCTCTGTTTTGCTAATATTGTGGGTCTAGTTTCAAGATGATAGCAATCTAGAGAGAAAAAATGTTAAATATTTTCCACTTTCTAAAACCATATTGTTGCTGCAGAAGATGAAGGAAACGGACCACAGCACTGAAAAAGGAGACTGTAATTACAATGTAAGCAAAAGAAAACAAAGTTAGCCCCCCC